TTGTCTTAGAAACCCTAAAAATTTCCGTTACAAAATGTGGTTAGGACCTACCAAATAATTTGGGGGATATCATTCATTGGGCATTATTCCAAAATCTGGAAAAATCGGCGGCGTAACCTAAGCGAAGTCCATGCCAAACAGTTATAAAACGCTGGCTGAGATAACCTGATTTATGTATATTTAATGCCTGAATAAGTTGATGGGTGGATCTTAAAAATATTTTTAAAAAATCCACGACTGCTGTGTGGATCTTAAAAATATTTTTAAAAAATCCGCGACTGCTGTGTGGATCTTAAAAATATTTTTAAAAAATCCACGACTGCTGTGAGGGTCTTAAAAATATTTTTAAAAAATCCACGACTACTGTGAGGAGTTGATGGGTGGATCTAAAAAATATTTTTAAAAAATCCACGACTGCTGTGTGGATCTTAAAAATATTTTTAAAAAATCCACGACTGCTGTGTGGATCTTAAAAATATTTTTAAAAAATCCACGACTGCTGTGTGGATCTTAAAAATATTTTTAAAAAATCCACGACTGCTGTGTGGATCTTAAAAATATTTTTAAAAAATCCACGACTGCTGTGTGGATCTTAAAAATATTTTAAAAAAATCCACGACTGCTGTGTGGATCTTAAAAATATTTTTAAAAAATCCGCGACTGCTGTGTGGATCTTAAAAATATTTTTAAAAAATCCACGACTGCTGTGAGGGTCTTAAAATATTTTTAAACAAGTAAGCAAAGGCTATAGTCGTGCGGGGCCGACCATGTGATACCCTACAACACTACAATATGTTAGAAGCCCCCTTATGTCCAAATCCATTTTGGAAGATTTCGCTTTTGAAATTATGTGACGAAGCACTGCCCAGATATTACCCTTAGCATTTTGACCAGGGACATTTGCCCAATATTTACGCACTCCGTCGTATTTTGCGATAATCTCCAAAAGCAAGAGGCTCCTCTGCATCTCCAAATTTAGACTCTTCTATACGATCTTCTTGTCTACGATATTTGGCTATATTCGTCAAAGAAATCAGCAAAAAAAAGGCAGAAGTTCGCATTTTGTGTATTTCGGCTATCGCCTGTAAGTAATGTTGGTATTTTTCAGACAAAAGTAGTGGTCCATTCTACACGCTGTCCTAAACTCTCTTTATGACCTTTATAACGGCTGCAAAATCAGGAAAATTTTTAGTTGTTGGTCCATTTCAACCCCTAAATATATTGCGGACATCTTTGAAAACAATGGGCCTAGCCCTTATGAGCCTAACCCTACCTTTTTCGTGAGGATCGGACGATAATTGCAATCTGTATATAAAATCCCAAACCTGTGTTGTAAGGTGGAAAAATATTACAAAATGTACACCTTAACATTATAAGTCAAATTGAAAAAATCGCATGCGATAAAAAATATGAAAAAATAAAAAAATGTCACAAAATACTAAAAAATCTATATTAAGACCCTATTTGACTTATTTTTATGCGATTTTTTTAGATTTTATACTTTTATGTCAAGAGGGCATTCTGAATTGACAAATATTGTCAAAATCGATCCAGCCATAAGCATTCTAGCTAACATCCCCTTCCTTTGCATATATACATTGTATATATTTCGCTATATATATCCGATATTTTTACTATCGGCATCTACGTAACGGTCAGAATTGACCTGTTCGTCTATTTCTGATTTCGCCGGGACTAAAAATATTCGCGGTATAATGGAAATTTGACTTTTATTTATCACAAATATTATAGTCTTTTTCACCCACTAAATATTACCCGATGACCATCAAAATCGGAAGGCTTCTGCCCAGCCCGAAGATTTAGCCCCATGCTAATTTCCGTGTCGATTGGTCCATAATTGCGACCTGTAGAGCAACTGCAAAATCATGAAATTTTTCAGTTTTTGGTCCATTTCGACCCCTAAATATTGTGCGATCATCTCCAAAAGAAATAGGGTTCTATTCTGACCTTATCCCCACCTCCATTCTAAATTTCGTGAAGATCGGGCCATAATTGCGACCTGTAGAGTGATTACAAATTAACATGGACAGACGGACAGACGGACAGACGGACAGACGGACGGACGGACATACATAGCTAGATCGACTCAGCTCGCCGAGACAGGAAGATCCATATATACTTTCCTATGTGGGAAATCAATATTTCGAGGTGTTACATAATTTTTGGCCCAATCAAACTTAAAATACCCCCAACACAAAGTGTTGTAGGGTATAAAAATCCACGACTACTGTGAGGATCTTAAAAATATTTTTAAAAAATCCACGACTGCTGTGAGGATCTTAAAATTATTTTTAAAAAATCCACGACTGCTGTCTGGATCTTAAAAATATTTTTAAAAAATCCACGAATGCCTAAAAATATTTTTAAAAAAGAAATTGCGGCATCTAAATAATCCACTAATATTTTTTATAAATTCCATGATTGCTAAAAAGTTTCCAAAAATCTATACAAAAAAGAGTAGGGAAATATCTCACTAATTGATTGACATAGAATCAACGCCCGAACGAAACGGTTGAAGCTAGAATCTTGAAATTGACCACGAGGACCAGTCATAGTGCATAGGGGTGTGATAAGACTGGGTTTTCGGAAATTCGTTCAAAAAGAGTACCAAAAGTGCTAAAATGTACTAAAAATTGAATACTTTGTATTGGTCAAACGGAAAGGATAGATGTACCAAGGGTATTTTAGAAATTCGAAAGGTCACGAAAATTCTAAAATGGTACTAAACTTCTAAAAAGCTACGATTTGATACGAATATGAAAATCAATTTTGGAAAGTAAGCTTGATATGTGGTTGCTGGTTTGGAAATGTGTAATAGGTGTGCAAACTGTACTAAATAGTACAAATTTTGCAACAGTTCGATTTAGTGTAAACGTATGAAACTGAAATTTCGAATTTTACGTTTTTGGATCCCTGTTGGTGATAGGTTTGTGATAAGCAGGTGGTTTTTTGAAATGTGTACTACAAGTGTTCGAAAAGTACTAAATAGTACCATATTTGGTACTATTTAGTATTGGGTTGAAATCTGAAATTTAGTATTAGGGTCGCTGTGTAGCCTAGACATATGGAGGTGGTACCTCCACCAAAGTACTAAATTTGTACCAAAAGTGCTAAATTTGTTATTCGGTGAAGAGATAGTATAGTAGGATAGATAGAATAGGATAGGATAGAAGGGATAGTATCTGTGTTTGAGATTTGGTTGTGGCTTGCGTCCTATATTTGTACGAAAAGTACTAAATGGTACTAAGTTTGGTTTTGGGTGAAGGGATAGGGCCGGAATCCTTAAACTTGATATTTGGACCGCTTTTGGTATCTGGAATTGAGATATGGAGGTGATTTTGGAAATGTGTAGTACAAGTGCACGAAAAATACTAAATCGTACTATATTTAGATATAGTTTTGGTATTGGGTGGAGGGATAAATTTGATATTAAGGTAGCTGTTGGTATCTGGAATTGAGATATGGAGGTTGTTTTCGAAACGTGTGCTGCAAGTGCACGAAATGTACTAAATAATACTATATTGGGTACAATTTGGTATCAGGTAAAGGGATAGGCCCGGCATTTTTGATATGAAGGTATCTGGAATTGGAATATGGAGGTGCTTTGCAAATGTTTATTTTAATTGTACGGAAAATACTAAATAGTACAATATTTGGTACAATTTGGTATTGGGTGAAAATATAGCGACTGAAATCTGAAATTTGGTTTAAGGGTCGTTTCCAATCCAATGGTCATCCAAAATTCTAGAATTCTTCCCTGTCGTTAACTCTCTTCTCAGGCGTGTCGATGGGCTTCAATTGTGTGATCAGGAATTTTTTTCTGTTTTTGGTTCATATGAACTCTAAATATTTTGTGATCATCCCCAAAAGCAAGAGGCCCCTCTGTATCTCCAAATTTAGACTCATCTATGTGATTTGTTTTTATATCGGCTGTAAGTAATGTTTGTATTTTTTCACACAAAAGTAGTGGTCCACTTTACCCGCTGTCCAAAACTCTCGCGAGATTTCGTGTCCTTTGGTTTCTACTTGTGACCTTTTTCACGACTGCAAAATCAAGAACATTTTCAGTTGTCAGTCCATTTCAAACCTTAAATAGATTGCGGACATCTTTAAAAACAATAGGCCTAGCCCTTCTGAGCCTAACCCTACTCTTATGAAAATTTTCGTGAGGATCGGACGATAATTGCAATCTGTATATAATAACCCCAACCTGTGTTGTAAGGTGAAAAAATATTACAAAATATATACTTCAATATTATAAGTCAAATTGAAAAAATCGCATGCGATATAAAATATGAAAAAATAAAAAAAAAAAAATTATGCGATTTTTTTAGATTTTATAATTTTATCCCAAGAGGACATTTTGAATTGATAAAATTTGTCAAAATCGGTCCAGCCATTACTGAGATATAAGCATTCTAGCTAACGTCCCCTTCCTTTGTACATTGTATATATTTCGCTACATATATCCGATATATTTACAATGGCATCCACGTAACGGCCGGGATTAAAAATATTCGCGGTTTAATGAAAAAATTGACTTTGATTTAATACAAATGTCTTAGCCGATGACCAACAAAATTGGAAGGCTTCTGTCCAGCCCTAAACTCTAGCCCCATGCTAACTTCCGCGTCGAACTGCAATATCAAGAAATTTTTCAGTTTTTGGTCCATTTCAACCCCTAAATATTATGCGATCATCTCCAAAAGCAATAGGGTTCTTTTCTGGCTCTAGCCCCACCTCCATAATTGTGACCTTTAGAGTGATTACAAATTAACATGGGTAGACGGACGGACGGACATACATAGCTAGATCGACTCAGCTCGGCGAGATAGGAAGATACATATACACTTTCCTATGTGGGAAACCAATATTTCGAGGTGTTACATAATTTTTGGCCCAATCAAACTTGTAATACCCCCAACACATAGTGTTGTACGATTTTTAAATATTTTTTTAAAATTGAAAAATGATAATTTTCATTCCTTCATTTTTAGTTCTTCTTTGCCTTTTTGTGGGCTCAATGGCAATGCCCACAAAAATGGAGGCCACAGAAGCTACAACTACCGCCAAAGAAACTAAATCTCAAATGGGCCTACCAATGACTGAAAATAAAACTGTGGCCGAAGCTGAGGCTCTAATTGAAAGTTTCAAGAAGGCAGCAGGCGAAAACAAAGACAACATGGATAGCTCTAAAACCGAAGAACCTAAAATCCAAGGCAAGAATGCGGGAAATGTTGACCAAGACAAAGACATCAAGGCAGCCGAGGAAGTGAATAAAAAAGAAACCGACAAGGTTAAAAAAGATATGGAAAATAAAAAAAATGTCGAGGACACAGAGAATCAAAGTGGCTCCTGGAATGATGAAAATGATAGTTTTTGGTCGCTGCAGCATCGTTATCCCGATCTGACCCACGAGGAATTCCATGAAATCAATCATGAAGATGCCATACCATTGAACTTTCTTAAGGGTTTTGCCCTTAACGGCGAAGAGGTGAGTAGATAAAAGAGCACCATTCAAGAAAAGAAATAATAATTTCCCTGCTGTCCTCTAGGGAAAGGAAGTAGGTAAGGATGGAGAAAAAATAAATGATTTGGCCAAAATAGCCCCAGAATTATTCCTGCAACCTGAAAATCCAATCTATTTGACAATACCCATTGTAATCAACTCCCATTCAACACTGCCCATTTCATTGTCGATTGGTGGCAATAAAATCCCCTTGGATGCCAACAGCAAGGAGATTACCCCTCCCCTGATCAAGAAACTCAGCTATGCCGCAGCACCGCCAAGGGAAACCAATCGTCATCGTAGCAACTTGCGTACCAAAATCTATGCCCGAAACAAACGTCATGAGGTGCAACAATTTGCCAGACCACTCTAAGGATAATGACAATCTTTTTTTATTTAATTTTAATAATTTATTTGCTTAAATTTAAATAATAAATAATTTATTTGTTTCTAACCTACAAAATATCATAGACAGCCTTTAGGAACCGCTTATCTTCCATAAAACGTTGTTCACCCTGATCATCATCGTCTTCTTCCTCCTCATCATCGCCCTCGTCCTCTTCATTGTCATCTTCTTCTCCCTCATCGGGGGAAACGCCACCACCACCACCGCCGCCTTCACCTCCATGTCCCCCGGCAGCTATGTTATCGGCAAGCAATGATTGTTGTAACTCCTCCTCTTCCTCATCATCCTCTTCTTCTTCATAGTAATCATCATCGGCAAAGGCCTGGCGTCCCTGTACTCTTCCCACAGTCGATTTTGTTGGACCAATTTCCGAACGATCCAAAAGATCAACCACTCTGCCAGAAGTCAAATCCAAGTACACAAATAAGACAACAAAACCTGCCAACACCGTCAACTTCATGTCTGCTGTCATTCAACTGTCACCTCCATTCACTCAGCCACTTGTAATTTATAGTCAAATTTTTGGTAACTCTCCTAAACATATGCGTTTTGAAAACTGCATTCGATCTTTGCTCATTTCCCCCCTCCCCTCTCTAATATCGTCGGCTTATCTAAAAATCTCACACTCATCGGTCTGGTCTGTTTCCTCAATTTGAAAAGAAGTGAAATTTGATTTTTATTGCAAATTAAAAATACAAAAAAAGATTTAATGGGCATTTTGTAAGATTCACAAAAATTGAACTCTAAAAGCATTGACGAAACCACTTTTTTCAAGTCGTCTGACGTGGTGTAACCTCGGCCAAAGGTTTTATTAAATTTTATTAACTCATCATTTTAATTAAACGATCGTAAAATGGTTTGAGTGATATTTGTATCAATTTTTCGGATGGAAGAAAAATTTGCCCAAAGCGACGGACATCTCTGTTCAGTACACGTGCTGTATTGAAATTCAAATAAAATCGATTAATGAAATTATAAGCGAACTTAAATTAAGTTCCCTTTATTAATGATTAGGTCTGTCTGGTTATCCAGAAATTTGTAACAATTGTTGCAAATTGTTACTGGCAAACAAACACAAAAGTTCTGCAAAAGAGAGCAAGAGAGAAATATTGCCACCTTTTTAACGGAGAGTTTGAGGGATACATTTTTTCTTGAGATATTTTCCATTGTGTTCATCCTAGGAAGAATAACGTTTTTGGTGATTGGAAATAGATAGAAGCAAGAGAGAAGAGAGAGAGAGGTTGTAGCATAGACATAGAAAATTAGGATCAGCAGGTGTTGCCTACATCGTTTTAGGGGTTTGAGTGAATAAACCTGAAATCGGACTAAGGATATATATGGGAGCTATATACAAATCTTAGCCAATGTCCATAAAATTTGGAAAAGGTATTTCCGGGCTCTATAAGATATCTGGTACCAAATATCATTGTTGTATATATGAAACACATATATGGAAGCTATAGCTATATCTGAACCGATTTTCTTTGAATTCTATGTATTTGCTTCTAGACTGAATTCGGTTGGACGTGCCAAAATTCAGTCCATTTGGGCTGATATTGATCATTTGGTGCACAATTAACCCGAAATCGGTTGAAGATATATAAGTGTGGATATAGCTCCCTGAGTCTATTTTGATTCAATTTGGCAGAGATATTTTGCTCGGAAATACCTTTTCCAAATTTTATCTGGAACGGCTCAGATTTGAATATAGCTTTCATATATATCCTTAATACTCAGAAATAACTTTGCCAAATTTGATATACAACTTCTCAGATATGGATATAGCTCCCATATACAGGGTGAAATAAAAACCAGTAAGGAAAAGTCAAAAGTCAGGCGGGGCCGACTATATGATACCCTACATCACTATGCACATTTAGTAGAGACCCGTAACAAAGAATTTATTTGAAGTAGATCACACCACCTATCAACATTTGGCTTTAGAACAGTTATAGTTTGGTTTTAGAGGGAGCTAATAAATTAGAGCCATATAGAATTCTGAATCGATTTTTACTATAATTGACGGAGGCATTTTAATCTTTTATGCCAAGTAACATTGCTATAGAGTGCCTGATATCACTTCGAGAATGATTATATTAAAAACCAGTAAGGAAAGCTCAAAAGTCGGGCGGGGCCGACTATATGATACCCTACACCACTATGCATATTTAGTAGAGCTCTCGTAAAAAGGTTTACACAGAGCACTTCAGAGCTCTATGAGATATTTGGTACAAAATCAAAATCTATCTAATTCTATCGTGCATTTTACGAACTATAGCTATATCTGAACCGATTTTCACCAAGTTTGATGTATTTGATTCTAGGCTGAATTCGGTCAGATTTGCCAAAACCCAGGACATTTGGGCTGATATTGGACATTTGGTGTGCAATCAACACGAAATTGGATGAAGATATATATAGGAGGTATATCCAAATCTGAACCGATATTTGTAAAACTGAAAAAGAGGATATTTCTTGGCTGCATCTGATACCAAATATTATTCTTGCATCGTACATTTTTCGAATTTGAGGGACTTAAAGTACAAATCGGATGAAAGGTATATATAGGAGCTATAGCTGTATCCGACCGATTTTCACTAAATTTGATGTACCAATATTAGCCATTTGCTGCACATTTAATCCGAAATCGGATGAAGATATATTTGGGAGCTATAGCTATATCTGAAACGACTTTTACTAAAATTGGTGTCCTTGCTTCTAGGCTGAATTTGGCCAGATATGCCAAAATTCATGCCATTTCGGTCATTCATATCATTCCTGTGAAGAGTATATTACGAATGTAAGGGACTTAAAGAGCAAATCGGATGGAACATATATATGGAGCTAGAGCTATATCTGAACCGATTTTTACTAAAATGTGTGTACTTGCCTATAGGCTGGTTTCGGTCGGATTTGCCAAAATTCATGCCATTTGGGCTGATATTGGCCATTTGATGCACAATTAACACGAAATCGGATGAAGATATATATGGGAGGCATATCCAAATCGGAACAGATTTTAATAAAATTAAAATCAACTATTTTTGGGCTTTATCTGATAACTGGTACCAAATATCATTTCTGTGGAGTGCATATTACGAATGTGAGGGATTTAAAGACGAAATCGGATGAAACATATATATGGGAGCTATAGCTATATCTGAACCGATTTTTACTAAAATTGGTGTACTTGCTTCTAAGCTGGTTTCGGTAGGATTTGCCAAAATTGATGTTATTACGACCATTTGGTGGTCAATAACCCGAAATCGGATGAAGATATATATGGGAGCTATATCCAAATCTGAACCGATTTCGATAAAATTTAAAACAGCTATTCCTGTGCTCCATCTAATACCTGGTACCAAATATCACGGTTGTGGAGTGAACATTACGAATGTAAGGGACTAAAACACTAAATCGGATGAAACATATATATGGTTGCTATATCTATATCTGAACCGATTTTCACTAAATTTGATATACTTGCTTCTAGGCTGAATTTGGTCCGATGTACTAAAATTCAGTCCATTTGGACTTATATCGGCCATTTGGTGCACAATTAACCCGAAATCGGATGAAGATATATATGGGAGCTATATCCAAATCTGAACCGATTTCGATAAAATTACAAACAGCTATTTCTGGGCTGTACCTCATATCTGGTACCAAATATCACGGTTGTGGAGTGAACATTACGAATGTAAGGGACTAAAACACTAAATCGGATGAAACATATATATGCTTGCTATATCTATATATATCTGAACCGATTTTCACTAAATTTGATATACTTGCTTCTAGGCTGAATTTGGTCCGATGTACTAAAATTCAGTCCATTTGGGCTTATATCGGCCATTTGGAGCACAATTAACCCGAAATCGGATGAAGATATACATGGGAGCTATATCTAAATTTGATCCGATTCTCACCAATTTCAATAGGGTTCGTCCTTGGGCCAAAAAAATATTGTTTGGAAAATTTCATCTCAATCGGATAATAAATGCGACCCGCATTTTGTTCACAAGAATACATGGACAGACGGACGGACGGACGGACGGACGGACATGCATAAATCGACTCAGAAAGTGATTCTATGAAGGTTCTCAAAAGTAACTATGGGTCTATCTCGTTTCCTTCTCCATGTTACAAACAAATGCACAAAGACATAATGCCCTTACCACTATGTGGTGTAGGGTATAAATATATATCGAAGCCGAGTTCCACAAAATGGAAACGTACGTCCCGAAATTCACCCCATTTTGGCTGATATTACACATTATTTGCACAATAAACCTGAAATAGAATTAAGGATATATATGGGAGCTATATACAAATCTTAGTCATTCTTGAAAAAATTTGGTAAAAGTATTTCTGAACTCTATAAGAAATTTTGTACCAAATAACATTGCTGTCGAAGGCATATTACGAATATGAGGGACTTAAACACCAAATCGGAGGAAACATATATATGGCAGCTATAGCAATATCTGAACCGATTTCCTCCAAATTTAATGTAATTACTTCAAGACTAAATTCGGTCGGATGTACCAAAATTCAGGTCATTAGGACTGATATTGGCCATTTGGCGCACAATTAACCCGAAATCGATTGAAGATATATATGGCAGCTATATCCAAATCTGATCCAATCTTGATAAAATTTAAAAGAGGTATTTCCGAGCTCTGGTACAAAATATAATTGTAGTCGAAGGCATATTACGCATATCGGGGACTTAAAAACCAAATCGGATAAAACATATATATGGGAGCTATAGTTATATCTGAACAGATTTTCACCAAATTTGGTGTACTTACTTCTAGACTGAATCCAGTCGAATGTGCCAAAATTCACATTATTTGGACTGATATTAGCCATTTGGTGCACAAGAAACCTAAAATCGGATGAAGATATATATGGGAGTTATATCCAAATCTGAACCGAACTTGATAAAATTTGATCTATGAAGTGCTAGGCTGTATCAAGCACATGCTTGTAGGCTGAATTCGGTCGGATGAAGAAAAATGCACATCATTTGGACTGATATTAGCCATTTGATGCCCAAGAAACCTAAAATTGGATGAAGATATATGTAGGGGCTATATATAAATTTGGACCGATTTTCACCAATTTCAATAGGGTTCGTGCTTGGGCCAAACAAGTGTTATTTAGAAAATTTCAACTCAATCGAATAATAAATGCGACCTGCATTTTGTTTAAAAAATACATGGACAGACGGACGGACATGCATAAATCGACTCAAAATTTGATTCTATGCTGATCACCAAAAGCAACTATGGATCTATCTCGTTTCCTTATCCATGTTACAAACAAATGCACAAAGACATAATACTCTTACCAGGGTATAAGAACTGCAACAAAGTCAAACGCCATCATTTTGAATGAAAGCAAAAAATGTCGGAAATAGCTTTAAATTTTAGAATAGGATTAGATTTTATGGCCTTCAAACGGCCAATGAAACCGTCACAATTAACGGCGAAACTCTTGGTTAAGGAGATCGACACTTTGGTATTTTTAGTGTCAACCTTGCTTTCCAAAATACTCCAGACAAAATAGTCCAACGGATTGGTATCCAGAGATCTGATGAGATGAAAAGAGGAACCTCATTTTGTAAACATTCTTGGGAGGCGCGTGCTGAGTCCTGTTGGAATGTCCAAGGTCTGCGGCCAAAATATTTGCGTGCCTAAGGCTTTAATACACCCTCCAGAATATTTTCGCGATAATATTCGGATTCGATACCTGTTGGCCAACCTGGCAAGTAAACATGATAATTTTGTTTTATTTACAAACTGCTGGACAACGAATGTTTCCTCATCGGAGAAAACCAAATTCGGCAGTTTACTACTTTCGGCCAAGCGAAACAACTTTTTAGCTCTTTTGAGTCTATTTTTATACCCTACATCACATAGTGGTAAGGGTATTATGTCTTTGTGCATTTGTTTGTAACATGGAGAAGGAAGCGAGATAGACCTATAGTTACTTTTGAGGATCTCCATAGAATCACTTTCTGAGTTTATTTATGCATGTCAGTCCGTCCGTCCGTCTGTCCATGTATTCTTGTGAACAAAATGCAGGTCGCATTTATTATCCGATTGAGATGAATTTTTTCAAACAACATTTGTTTGGCCCAAGGACGAACCCTACTGAAATTGGAGATAATCGGTAAAAATTTAGATATAGCCATATATATCTTCGTCCGATTTACCTTTTATTGTGCACCAAACGTCTAATATCAGCCCGAATAGTATGGCATTTTACAAATACAACCAAATTAGGCCTGAAAATAAGTATGCCAAATTTGATCGAAATCGGTTCAGATATTGCTATAGCTTCCATATATATTGTTCATCCGATTTGTTATTTTTGTTCTCCGCCGCCGTATTATGCACTCTGTAACAACAATATTTTGGGAAATATATCACATATAGCTCAGAAATATTATTGCCAAATTTTATCGAGATCGGTTCAGATTTGGATATAGCTCCCATATATCTTTATCTGATTTCAAATTAATTTTGCACCAAATTGGCAATACAAGTCCGAATTTAAAAGATACAAATGCTTCGGCATATTTAGTCCTTTGAACTTTAAATTATAATTATAATCATAGCGTGTATAATTGAATTCTCCCATAAAAACTTTTAAATGTTATGTGGAGCTCTACTAAATTAGCAAAGTGGTGTAAAATCGGCCCGCCCGACATTAGGACTTTCTTTACTGGTTGTTTATATTTTATTTTTTGGAATTTCAATGGTCGAATGGAATATCGATCAAGTCGCTTCTTTAATTTTCGAACAATTTTTGCTGATGTTGCTATTTTGTTCCGTCCACTTCCTTGACGTCGGGCTACGCTATCAGTATCACGGTAACGAGCGATGGTACGAGACACAAAAGATTTATTAACATTTAAATGCTAGAGTGCTCTAACCGTAGCCACTTATATATAGATGCTGAGCGTCTCCGAACTCGATCTGAGTCTGGTAAAAATATTACGATAGAACGAGTTTAAACCAAATAAACCTTTAAGAGGACGGACATACCTAGATCGACTCCAAATGTCCTGAAACGGAATTGGTACTAAGAGACCCGGGTCGAAAAACCGCCGAGGTAGCTTTCGGCCATATTAAATGTAGCTATATGGCTGAGGTTACAAAAATATGAGATATGTCGAAAAACAGGCTTATACTGAAAAGCTTTTTTAAGTCGAATTTTTACCGACAATCAAAATACCACGTTATATAAAATCAATGCTAAATAGTTTACAAATAGCTGAAACTTTTCTGCAGAATGGCATCTGTCTGTTCAAAATTATAGCTAATATAGAAGGAAATTCGTGTGAATCCTTCGAGATACTTAAAATCAGAAGGTACTGTTTAATAAAATAGACGAACCGATACATTTCTCTCAGAAAAAATTTTGAAAGCAAGAGAAGACGAAGACCAGATTTCCTTAAATTGGGCTGGGGGCAATAAGGAAACGTCCTTAAGGAATTTGAAAGATCCTACTCACTTTTGACTATAAAATGCTTCTATTTGACTATCAGTGACAACTAGAAGTTATATGACAAGACTTTCAGCAATTTTCAGCCAGCCATAATGTACTGGGCTATTTTGTGTCCCCAAGAATACCCTCTTAGTTGAAAATTTATATAATATTATAGAATCTCACATTGGATTTTTAGAGAGTTTGGAGTATTTTGGTCTTTGGTCAACACCAGTACATGGAGTACAAAAGCTCTCCCTTGTTCCCCACACATAAAATTAGACGTTTCCTCCCATTTGCAGATAAATTATTTTTCCCATGCTCTTACCTTCAAAACAATTCCAAAACACATGTCTTTAAAAAATATTTTATTAAACTACGTTTTTAATAAATTAATAGATAAATAGTCGTGGTTTCTTTTTTTGTTTTCTTAAAGCTAACAAATCACAAATAAAGCTCTTCAAAATTTAAGCTTTAGCCTCTTCAGTTTGTGTTGGTGCACTTTGTTCTGCAGCGGCGGGTTTATTTTCAACCGCCTCACTTTCTTTTTCAGCAGTCTCGGTTGCCTTATCTCCAGTGGCTGAGACGGTTTCTTTATTAGCTTCGACGACGGTGGCAACTTCTTCGGCTTCTGGAACAACGGTTGCAGCTTCAACTTCATCCTCATCATCGTCATCACCAATGACCTGTTCAATGGTCTGCTGAAGGAAATGGCCGAAAAGTTGGAAATATTGTTGGGCACTGGTGGCCACCTGTTGGGAGTTGGGCAGCTCAGTGGTCACCTTCTTGATGGCATCACGGATGAGTATCAAAACATTTGTGTTGCTGGATGGTGGAGCTGGACTGGGAGCAGCGGCAGCTGGTGCAGCACTGTTTTCACTATTTTCACTTTGTTCCTTATTCTCTTCTTCGGGTTTGGCATTCTCAACAATTTCATTTGTTGATTCGGCTTCAGTTTCGGCAGGAGCAGGAGCAGCAGCAGCAACATCACGTCTCCTTCTACGACCAAAGAACGAAGATTCATCATCATCGTCATCATTCTCCTCGTCATCCTCTTCATCATCTTCATCGCTGCCCTCTTGAGAGTCATTGTGGGCCTGTTCTTGGGCCTGTTGCTGTTGAATTATATTCTGTTGTACGCGTTCGGCATCATCCTCATCGTCATCTTCGTCAGAATCTTCGCCGGAGACATCTTCTTCATAAGCTTGACGGGAACCTCGTACATTTGCCTGAACTCCTTCATAATCCAATTTGTGAACGACGTTCTCAACACCGGTTTTCACTGGGACACGCAACGAGGCAGCCTCAATGCTGGCCGCTAAACAAATGACCCCCAAAATAGCCAAAGAGAGCTTGCAACTCATTTTTTGAATATTTTATATTCCGGATATACCTTCGGTTCTACTCCCACCACGGTTTAAATCAATTAACTGAGTTTCACTAAGGTATCACATTGGCTTTTTATAGGTTTTTTTCGCTTGCCCATCGCTATCGTCGTCATCATCATCAGCATAATCTCCATCGTCATCATCTTCATCGCCAGCAGCAGCAACAATACCAAGAGATGGCCACCAGCATCAACGACAAAGTCTTGAGGTCCAACCGTAACCGAAAATTATGCAGAAACACGGTAAACGCACCGAAGGAGAAGCGGTGAAGAGTTGAAGAAAGAAAAATGAAAGTAAAACCAATTCTCCCCAAAAACAAAAATCATTTGTTTTCGCTTTTACCACCAGCAGAAACAACAATAACAACAACATATATAAATATGTATATTTGTTCATATTGATATATTGTGCGGACCTTTGTTTTTATATTTTTACGATCATCATCATGAGTATTTTGAAACTTTGCACAGTGGTGTGAAGTTGTTGATGCGTAAATTATGGACAAATATTGGCCATAACGGTTATAGTTATTTCAGATTAAATTTTGCAAGTTTGCAGATTGATATAATGTTAGCGACGCCAATTTCCAAAATAAAAATTAGTAAAGAAAGGTCAAAAGTCGGGCGGGCAGACAAAATGATACCCTATACCACTATAGGTATTAAATAGAAGTCATGACTTCGATAAGGATCTGTGGGTTAAATTCCGGCAGAAGTGCCGAAATTCAGTCCATTTGGACTGATATTGGCCATTTGGTGCATAATTGACCCGAAATCGGTTGAAGATATGTATATGGAAGCTATAGATATATATATATATATATATATATATATATATATATATATATATATATATATATATATATATATATATATATATATATATATATATATATATATATATATATATATATATATATATATATATATATATATATATATATATATTTATATATATATCTTTCATATACATATCTTCAACCGATTTCGGGTGAATTATGCACCAAAATATCAGTCCAAATGGACAAAGTATTAAAACATTTATATATATACTAGCTGGCCCGGTCCGCGTTGCCGGCCCGTAGTTGTAGTCTTTAATGCAAATTTTGCATACCATAATATTTTACAAATCTAGCTCATAAAGGTGTACAAATTTTAATATAAATATTGATTCGACTAAATAGAAATAAATAACTATGAAAGGAGGGCAAAATAATTTCTGAATAGTCAAAGTTAATTACGCTTTTACACCCATTACCATAGCACCTCGAATTGCGCATTAGAGTCCCCAAAAAGTCTATGTTCTTGTTCATAGTAAAATTCAACGACGATTAAACAATGCCCGCGTTGTTGTCCGCCAATCGGTAAACATCACTATAGATCGGCGGGCCTGGGGACTATATGGGGACTGTAACAACATATTTACGTATGTTGAAATTTTTCTGCAAGATGGTTCTCTACTCACAAAGTAGCCTAAATACAGCAAATAATGACCAAATCAGTTGAAAAACGTGGCCAAGACCACAGTCACAGCTGAAATCAGGGATATATTTATATAAGGGTTATACCAAAACGTGGCCCAACCAATATTCTCTTGGGGGTTACAAATTCAAGTCTTAGGGATACTCCAATATGGGGACTTTACTTAAATAAATTCCTATGTGGCAATTATCTGTGTGATGGTTCCCTACCCCAGGGTAGCATAATACAATTTTCAGCCAAATCAATTAATGAATATGGTCAAGGCCAAAATGGGCCCTACTCTGAAAATTTCAAACTTTATGCGAAGAGGTTTTCTACCTCCTTAGAAACAAAGATACCAAATAATGGACAAAATATTAAAAAAGTGACCAAGACACCAAAAATAGCTTAAATCATACGATGATTATATAAGTATGAAATCGGGTTGTACCCTTATCCGTCAGTTATGATCGATATCATGACCTGCAAAAGCGATTTAAGGTATCTTGAATGTTTGGGAAGAATTTCTGGAAGGATAGAAATCCTTTTTTACTAAGAGTCCCATTCGTTCTACTATTTTCCACCCTTTATATTTGGTATTTTTCTGATTGTACATTGGACGGATTATTGTGACAGGAAAGAAGTAGTTCCACGCTTTGTTCAAATGTGTTCGCATCTTCCAGCTGAACCACGATGTCGGCCCTGGAGTTGAAAGGTAGATGTCAGTTAACATCGTATTTCCCACTTATTTCATTTTTTGGTGAAAATTTGTATATAGTGAAAAATTATTCTTTATTTTGTTCACAAAAAATTTATTGAATTCAATTAGATAATAATTTTTTACAGCAAATGTTTAAAGATCCTTATATAGTTTGTCAATAGAATGTACTTCTATTTTAAAATTCGATTCCATTAAATTATTTCGACATCATCTATTCCGTTTCGCCACCACATAATTCGGTACTACACTTCCATGTAACTCGCCATCAATTTCATTTCTCAAGGAATCAAGTATGTACATTAGAAAAAAGTATGTCAAAATGGAAAAAAATCATGCAAAATAAAACATTACTATTGTACATTTCAAAAGTCAAAATGAAAATGTTAATATATCACATTTTTATGCGATTTTTTGGATATTATCCTTTTCGGAGAGGGGACAATTCCGAATTTGTATGGATCGTTAAAATCAGTGCAGCGGTTCTTAAGTTATAAGCGTAGTAACTAACACAACTTTCTGTTATATATATAGATAGATATAGATTAAAAAGTACTGACAACGACAGATCCTCAGCCCCAAATAAATACTTAGAGGGGGATGGAAAGTCAACAGTATCTCGTGCAATAATTTTTAAAGCGATATCTCCCCTATATTGGGAAATATAAGGATTTTAGATAAATCAAAATTGTGGGCTCAAAAGTGGGCGTGGTCTATATTTTTTTCTTTAAAAACCTAACTCGGGGTATGACGAAAGTTTTTACAAAAAATTATGGAAATCGGTCCAGCCGATTCCGTTACAAACAAACAACAATTGATTTTTATACATATAAATAAAAAATAAATAAATAAATATATATATATATATATATATATATATATATATATATATATATATATATATATATATATATATATATATATATATATATATATATATATATATATATATATATATATATATATAGCTCCAAATTTGATGTACTTGTTTCTAGAATGAATTTGGCCAGATGTGGCAAAATTCAGGTTGGATTGATATTGGCCGTTTGGTGCACAATTAACCTGAAATCGATTGAAGATATATGTGGGAGCTATATCTAAATTCAAACCGATATAGTGGACATCTCCAAAACCACCAACATATCTCAATTCCAGTTACCTCGATATCAAATTTCAGAATTTCAAGCCTATCCGTTCACCCACTACCAAATCTAGTACCATTTAGTACTTTTCGTACAAAAGTAGGGAGCACTTCAAAACCACCGTCAAATCTCAAAAACGTATGACATCAGTAATCTAAATATCAAATTTCAGAATTTTATCTCTATTGTTTCACCCAATGTTGCTCTGCGATATTTTGGCCCATTCCCGGCGAAGCGCTTGCTTGAGGTGATCGACACTTTGGTATTTTTTAGTGCCAACCTTGCTTTCCAAAATACTCCGGATTGGTATTATTGGGTGGCGCCTGTTGAGTCCTGTTGGAATGTGTGCAGCTAAAATGTTTGCGTGCCCAAGGTTTTAATACACCCTCCAGAATATTTTCGCGATAATATTCGGCATTTATTCTGATGTCACGGTCGATTAATACGAGCGGAAAGCGACAATCGGCTGTTATGGCGGCCCACACCATCACCATGGCCGGCACTTGAGTTCTGGTGGCCAACCGAAGGTGCACATTTTCAGATGACCTCTTGAGTTCTGGTGGCCAACCGAAGGTGCACTTTTTCAGCTGACCTTTTTGGCAAGTAAACACGATCATTCTGTTTGTTTACAACGAATGTTTTCTCATCGAAGGAAACCAAATTCGGCAGTTCATCACTTTCGGCCACCGAAGCAATTCTAGCACTTTTGAGTTTATTTTCTTTCTGTTGCGGTGTAAGTTCTTGCAATTTTTGGAATTTCAATGGGTTTACCACGAGCTCATTTTTCAATATTTGCCGAATGGAATATTACGATATGTTCAGCTCACGAGCCATTTTTCGGCCACAGCGACGCGGGTTTCGTGTCGATCAAGTTGCTTCTTTACTTTTCGAACCATTTCTGCTGATGTTGCTGTTTTATTACGTCTACTTTCCTGACGTCGGGCTATGCTACCAGTATCACGGTAACGAGCGATGGTACGAGACACAAAAGATTTATTCACATTTAAATGCTGGAGTGCTCTAACGATAGCCACTCGTGGTTTTCCAGCCAAATATAAAAAAATCACACTATCACGCTTGAATTCTATCACGAATAACTTTTTTCTGGAATATTTTCACCAAAATGCTTTTGTACGCTTGTAAACAATATAATGATCTGTCACTAGAATAATTTTAACAGCTGTCGGACGAGTAGCTTAGAAATGACAGCAGTCTGAAGTTGGTTGCAGTTTTTTCATCACACCCTGTATAAAAGAGGAAATTGTTTGTACGTTTGATTGCTTGTTTGTTTGTAAATTTTAGACTCACAAACTGCTGATCAGATTTTCCTGAAAATTTTCAGTTAGCATCGCCTGAATGTAACATAGGTTATATATACTTTTGAAATTCCACTTGGAACTAAAGATACTACATCAGAATCGGAGGTACCTCAAAAAAATGTACATATTGTATGCAGATATCTTTTATACAGATACAGTCTTCAAATATAAAATGTGTGACAGAAATTGGTACACAAATAATTTTAACAAATTATATTGAAATCGGTTTAGATTTGGATATAGCTCCCATATATTTTTTCGCCCGGTGTCATGTATTTGATGGCCCAACCAAGCTAAATTCCTCCCATTTCAATGAAATTTCGAATCTGTAACGGAATTTGATACAAAAATAAATTTCCGAAATTATATTAAAATCAGTTCCGAGTTAGATATAGCTCCCATATATATTTTCGGCCGATTTTATGT